TTGGATTTCTTTTCTCCATGGACTCTCCACAGAACAGAGAAGGGAAGCTCAGGGCTGAGTCAGAAAGCGCCACTGGGAGGGTGTTTATGGATGGCTGGGTGGCTCCCAGGTGGTCCTCACCCTCCAGATCAAGATCAATTGCTCTTCTCCACCTCCACTGCTGGTTAGTTCAATGACGTTGTTCTCTGTGACCTTCCAGATCGGATTTAAGGTAGCTAAAAATAAAATGCACGTATAATAGGACCATTTCAAATGAGGATAATAGGTGATATCAGAATCCATTAGATGGACGGTGAGAAAAACATAATTACACTGGGAAGTGGGGAGAAAATGGTGATGGAAAATGAACAATTCTCTATCTGGGTCCTGTTTTCATGGAACATGAAGACTCGTTAGGTACCTGAGTAAGAGTAATACAGTGACCTTAACTGAGCAGGCGATTGGTTTTCCTATGATTATTGAGCATCTCCTAGTGCCGAACACTATTCAGGACACAGAGATGCTAAGACTTTTTCATCCCTGTCCTCAAGGTGCACAACCTGTTCTGTGCCATGGATCCTGCATCATGTAGTGGGTGAAACCAGTTCTACCACCGACCAAAAACTATCAGACCAGGGATGTACGTCCAAGTCGAAGGCAGCCACACAGGCCCTGGACTCAAGGGAGGCCAAATATTCCTAAGGACACTTGACATGAGACTACCTCATGCATTTTCTCCATATTGCATGGGCCACTCCAATTCTGGCAGATTATGTTTTCCAAATATGCTGATAATGTATCTCCTACCCCACTTGCTCTCCTCACAATGTGACCCTGATGCCCCTTCCATTGAATGGTTGGGTTTGTGTCTTCTCCCCCTTGAGTTTCTCTCAAACAACAGAGCATGCCAGAGGTGATCGTATGCGACTTCTGTCTAGCTTACAAAAATGTCATGTACTCCCTCTTTGTTCTCTTGAGATACTTGCTCTTGGAATCTAGCTCCCATGCTGTGTTGAAGCCCAAGAAGGCCATGGACAGAGCTGTGTAATAGGAGCAAAGGTTCTTGGCCCATAGACCTGCTGGGCTTTGAACCCACAGCCGGCACCTTGCCGGGCATGTGAGTGAGCCATCTGAAAGCAAACCACCAGCCCCAAACGAGCTGCCCAGCTGATGCCATGTGGAAGAGAGATGAGCCATTCCCACTTGACCCCACCCACATGGCGGAATCATGAGCAAAATAAATGATTGTTGCTGTATCCAGCTACTAAATTTTGAGATGGTGTACTGGGTAGCAACAGACGACCTAGACACCAATCCAATCAAATATTCTTTTGGGGGAAGTATGAATGCATCCAGAGGTGGGCCTCTTGACCTCAGGCTGAATCCCAAACAATGCTGCTTTTCCTCCTGCACACAAGCCCTACATACGTGCTAGGCTCGGCTATTCGGAAAGGCAGAGTGACTACGGCAGTGAAAGGGCTGAGATTCCAGGCTACTTCAAACTATGCACACATGCAAAGTCCATGGACACAGACAGCAATGTGATGAAGGGTAGGGTGGGGGGATGCTGAGAGGCGGGGGCAAAAAGGGGAAATGGGGGACATCTATAATTGTGTCAACAATAAAAACTAAATTAAAAAATACAAATTAGCATTCTTAAATTGAAAAAAAAATCTTTCGAATTCTAGCACTAAACACCTATCCTTGAGCGTATCTGGGCATGCTCTCCACTGCAGAGCACAGCTACTTAAAGAGCACAGCTACTGTTCCGTCAACTCTAGCTCCAGTAAATGGGAATGCTTCTTTTTCACCAAGTAACCAAACCCTTGCCTGTGCCTAGGTCCAGAAACTAGAGTTTTCCTTATTGGCCCCATTCCAAACCCTGGCTTTTTTCTCAGCATGCTATACCATTCCCACTGTCCTTGGGGTCCAGCCTTCACCACCATCCTATAGCTTCTTCTACTTCTTATCTCAGGCTGTGCCCACCTTCCTGAATATTTTCCTATTACTTATTACTGGGGAGGCAGTGTGGCATGGTGATTTAAAGTATGTGCTTTGGCCCCTGACTGATGTGGCTGAGTTGGGTGGGTGTCGTCCCACAAACCGAAAGGTCACCGGTTCAATTTCCGGTCAAGGTGCATGCCTGGGTTGCGTGTTTGGCCCCCAGTTGGGGGTGTGCAACAGGCAACCGATTGATGTTTCTCACATCGAAGTTTCTCTCCCTTTCTTTCTCCCTCCCTTCCCCTCTCTCTAAAACATAAGTAAATAAAATCTTTAAAAATATGAACGTAAGTGTTTTGGAATTGGGGAAGCATGGGACAAGTTTATCAGTTCTCTAAACCTACTTTCAAAGTATATTCTGAGGGTTAAAATGAGATGACATATGTTAAACGCTTAGCACCTTTAGGCCACAATAGCTACCTCATCAGGTACCTAATAATTTTTCACAGCTCTGAGGAACAGAAACTTTACTGTTGTGTGTGACAAGGCACCAAACCAGGGAAACCACAGTTCCACACTGCCTTGCAGATAGGCTGGCCAACGAGATGTAGGCCAAGTTGCTTCATCGGGCGGGTGGCTGACCCAGTTGGGACGCTCACCCCCACACCAGCTCCCTCTTTCCCCTTCTCGTGAATATCACCCTGGAGCCAGAGAACATCTTGGTCATGTGGCTGCCCTGAAGGAGCCAGCTCTGCACTAATGGAGGTGGGGAGGGCATAGCCAAGGCCCAGGTCCCAGGTGACCCCAGAGCTGCCACACCAGCTGACCTCTGTGCTCTTCCATGTGCGAGAAAAAGCCAGCCTTGTGTAAAACAATTCAATTTTGTGTCTCCAGTATGTGACACATAATAAATGCTGATCAAGCTCACTGTTCTCACTTGGCATTGTTCCCCTCACTCCGTGGGACTGTCTGCTGTGGGCTCCAGGCTGATCTGACCCAGCACCTTAGTCACGTAGCTGCTCCAGGGGAAACAGGAAGGGACGTACACACTGCCGCAGACTCAAGATGTATGTCCATGCCAAAATTTACCAGGTTTTTCTCCAGTTGGCACACGAGGAGCAATCTTTCTGCCCGTCATTTGTCAATGTGCCGACTGGTTTCTGTGACCTGCGAGAGCGCACCATTATTCGAGGGAGTCTTCACAGTATCCACATGCCGTGCACCTGCCAGTCTGCCCTGCTCTCACTGTCACAACGCCAAGGTGTGGAAAATGAAATTAGAACCAAAGGCAGGAAGAACAGTGAGCAATCAGAAAAAAGAGGCTTGATCACTAAGAATTTCCTATTTTTTACTAAAAGTATTTTTAATTACATTGCCATAGATAATTAAAATTTCATTCCTCAATTGAAAAATATTTTGTAAGGAAGAAAAAAAGACAAGAATGTGTAATAATTTAGATATGCAGGGAATCTCATTAATTTCTAGTGTGGACAGTTTGGTCATAAAACAGGTCCAATTCCATAAGGACTTTTTGAGTTGACATTGTTTTGTTGTTTTTCAGGGGTAAATGGGTCAAAGAGAGCAGTTATGAAGGCACTGATCCTTCTTTTTCTTAGTCAGAGAGGTTCAAGGAACTTTCCTTTCCTTTCAAAGGATGCAAAATTCACTCCTTTACTCTTAGCAATCAGCATTTTAGTAAACAAATATCTTACCTTCCTTCAAATAAACATTTGTTCTAAATACTGATATACATTATCAGTATTTTTCTTCCTATCTCATAGTGCTTTGCTTTTTTTTAATTGTCCAATTACAGTTGTCCCCATTTTTCCATTAAGGCTATTATTTAATTAAATCTAGAAATATTTTTCAGTCTATCACTCCTGAATGAATAATTTAGCATACAAACATGTATATACTTATTTAGTTTTTATTAAAAAGCATGCCACTGAGAACAGAATAAATTAGACGTACATCTACATGTACACCTGACACTAATAAAGCCCCAGGTCATAAAGGAAAAATAATGTTATATATATTATTTCAGCATGCAAGTTAGCAGAAAAAATCTAAAACTGTCAATCAATTTTAAAACTTTCATAGTTTGGCAAATCATTTCTCATCAGTAGCAATGGGACCATCTCTGATACAAGGCTTACAAAGTAGAATTTATATGTTGCTGGGACAGAAGCCAAGTAAACATGACATCTGATGATCTTACTGATCTCCTGAGGAAATACTTTACATTGCTTGTACAATGAAAGAGTCTAATACAGTGAAGTTTGTTTTTTACATTATTCTCGCTTAACTTTATAGATTTTATTTATTTAATTTTTAGAGAGAGTGGAAGGGAGAGAGAGAGAGGGAGAGAAACATCAATCGGCTTCCTCTCGCAGGACCCCAACTGGGGACCCAACCCACAACCCAGGCATGTGCCCTGACTGGGAATCGAACTAGCGAACTTTCGGTTCACAGGCCAGCACTCAGTCCACTGAGCCACACCAGCCAGCACTATTCTCACTTAACTTTAAAAGCAAGATGCACACATACTAACTTATTACTGATCTACTAGATTAGTTTTTAACTTGTTGATTAACTGCAATCTCTACTCTTTCCGAAAGCTGGCACTTGTTAAACTTGTGGAATTTTCACATGTTCCTGATGTTATTTATAATTTCAGGGGTTCACCTAAGTCAGTAATACAGTGATCACACTCACTGATCTTCACACGTTGCTCACTGTTTGTAGTATCCGTGTCCCATTTGTTCAGTCCATCGATGCCGACCAAACAAGTGAGAAGTGTGAAGAGTATGCTTTTTGTAGAGTGCCCAACTGCTCAGCTATGAAGTACCAAAGGCCAGTGACGACACTGTGAGGTGAGCGCAGCAGTCATGATGAACTGAGCCCCCTGTGCCTGCAGTTCCACTGCAAAAGGAACACGTCCCCCTTTGGTTGTCTTCAACAGTTCAATGTTATGGTTCTAATTTTGTACAGAACTGAAATTAGAGTATTCATGTGATGGTAAGCACTTTTGGTTTAGAAATTTAACTTCTTAAATGATCATTTCAAAAAGAGCTGAAATCTATAGGGTTGGTAAAAAAAATTTTATTTTATATAATTGTATGGATTTCTCTCTCATGAACATAACATATTATTTAGAAAAGGTAACATGGCAAAAATAACAAAACAAAAAAACCCACCAGTTATCTACAAATAGCCACCCCCAGAAGGATAAAATTTTGGTGCTAGACAAGGCAGTATCAGGCAAGGTCACGGAGATAATAATAATAATAATAACAATAATTGGTTGCTTGGGTTCTGAAAATTATTAGTAACCAATTTGAATAATTCTGCTCCAACTAATATACAGTGACTCTTCTGCTTATTGTAAGATAAAAAATAATACTGTATGAGAGAAGCTACTCTGGACTGCCTAATAGAAATATTAAATGGAAACCCCAGAATTTATCCTGAGTGTCTTCTGAGTGTGAAAAAGTATCACGTGTAAATTTTTTAAATTTTAAATTTCAATCTTTTACCCACGCTGAGAATTTTAGTGGGGTCTTCTCAGCATGAAACCGTGTCTCATCCCTTCACCATATTCAGAATCGGCACTAATTCTGACAGAGGTTGAAATTAGCGTCTACATTTTATGTTCACTCGACATAGCGCCTTCTCTCAGAGCTGGTGAAAATGAATTGTTGAAACATACAAAATGAAAAATGGACAAAATATTTTTTAAAGAAACTATCTGCATTGCTAGAGCTACAAGGATGTCCATACAAGCGTCTGTCACCCCCTGGGTGTCACGGCCAACCCAAGCCGTGTGCTTGTGTTTAGGCGACCATGGCCTTCCCAGGGAGAGAAGTCACATCACTGAGTTAGGATAGTTATTTTTACACACTTATTAAAACAAGTTTCTTGAGGAGTTCAACTAGGCAATGTTGTTAACCTGGTGTGCTTAAAGTGTACAAAAATGCTACAAAATATATATATTTTTAAGTATTCTAAAGTCAGGTTTTGCTCTGATTGGCTACCTAATTTGGGCCAATGAGATTTTTTTTACTAACAATCTGAAACATAAAATTAAGTTTGTTTTTTTTAAAATGTTTTAAGTATCATGAATCTATGATGCCAACGGATTGGAACAGTCGTACACCTGCAGGGCGCTGGAAGTGGCTCTCGGCTGGGCCGACCCACACCAATGACTTTGAGAAGAGCCGTGTACAGTGGACAATTATAGAAGTTAGTGCGTCTTTCCATTATAAACTCAATGACTTGTTGCTGAAGTCTGGCTTCCTCTGGGATTTGAAATTATTTTAAATACTGAGTAAGGACAATTTTATCCTTTAAAATATTGCTTCATCAAACGAGATTCCAAGACTCTTAAACACCTCAGAACTTTTAAAGTCCATTATTTGATTGGGCCGGGTGGAGTTTACGGGTCAAAGTGTTCAGCTGGAATCTCAGCTACCCAGAGAGAGAGAGAACGGAGACCCTTCTGAGAGCCCGATGCTGATGAGGAACATGCTCAGAGAAACCACGTGGGCAGAATGGTGACTCAGAAAGGGGCGATTTGGGCACCTGAGAGTCCCTGTGGACCACAAGGTAAATATGAATATGTACCACAGCACTGGAAACAAAAACGGCATATTAGGATGTCCCAAAGAGATATGACAGAGGTCTCTGTTGAAGTTAGATATCAGGAAGGTGTCGCTTGCCCTGCTCTGTGCAGTGTGGGACGGCATACCGACAGTGGTCGAACAACCCCAGGTCTGCCCTTCACTGTGTGGACCGGCCTCCCCGGTTTGGGTCCCTGCGTTCAGAAGTAGGAGCTTAGTTCAGAAGGCAAGTCCTAGTTCACTGCATTCAGAAAGGGAGGAGGGGCCAGTTTTTGTTACGCATTCAAGGCAGCCTTTCAAACACAAGACCCAAAATCCAGCGGCAAATGCTTGGTAAACCTCCTCTTCCTTTGGTTGATATGCGAGGAGTAAAATAAATAAAGCTTTTTATTCTCTGTTTCTTTCCTGGAATACAGTGTCAGGTGTCGTAGAGGACCTGAGGGGCTCCCATTTGCTCGACTGCTCTAAAGGTCTGAGTCTGAACACCAAGGATTACGTGGAGATCGATTTTGCGTGAGTGGGAGAGAGAAACAGGCCCTTCCTCGCGTGGCACCACTGCTTCTAGCGCAAGGATGTGTCAGGATGGGCAGGGTAGGACAAGTGGGAATCTAGTTACAATTAGCATTTTGGACTACAAATATGGCCACTGTTTGGACTGCAAGTGATATGGCAACCGAACTCTGACCCAGAAGAGGTGACTGACATCAGACCAGGAGCCACCAATGCTAAGTTGCTTCTTTGTTCACCAAGAACCAATCCTTGGCTCCCGCGCGAAGTCCAGCCATATAAAACTCCCAGCCTTTCCCATCTCCTGTGCGGTCTTTTCTTAGCCCCTTCTCTGGGCGGGGAAAACGTTGCCCGGAAGCACAAACTTCCAAAATAAAGCTCATCTGCCTGTTTCCATGGCTAATTGGCTGTTTATTTCCTCGGCGGGGTCTAAGAAAACCTTACAGGATGTCCACACAGAGCACGCAGAAATCGCAGAGAACGTCATCTCTGATGGGCCGATGGTGGCCGGAGAGCAGGGTGGAGGAGGATCCGAGGCTTGTTCCAACTTAGCAAGAAAGACCTCTGAGGTGGCAAGTGATGTCCGCCACGGGCACAGGTATTTCCTATTCCCCTTTTGTTTGTTTCCAGTGACCTTAAAGATCTCAGAGACGAACAATACCAGCTGACAGATGACCCCCACCTACGCACACTCCCTACCCACACGCATGCCAGGGAGCTGGAGTGACAGCAAGAATGAGCTTGGGGGAAACGTGAACAAGTAGCTGATTTTGGCTGATACCGAAACGTTTGCTCTTTCACTGGAGATTCCTCTTCCTCTGAGAAGTTCCCAGGAGTGACTGGATCTGGCCAAAGGGGGTCTACAAGACACCCAACAACATCTCAGGACTGTGGGCGCTCCCTGTGTCTTCTTGGCTGGCAGAGAGGACTTTGTCAACCTCTACCCTGGTATGTACAGTAAAACACTTCTATCGTTTGTTTGCATTGTTTGACTCACCTTGAGAATAGGTCCTGCCAGATGCACGTGACCTATCAAAGCACTTGACTAATCAGAGGAAATTATCCAAAGCTAATTAGGTAACAATGAGACCCAGAAGGAAACCATAGATAAAACAGCTTCCTGGTTTGAACCCTGAGGAATGAAGCAGAGAGGTAACAGGGATGCCGCCTAGAGCAGAGATCAGAGCCCAGCTGCGGGAGTGCATCAGCGAGAGCCCGGCAGAGGCCGAGGCCTCTGGTCCTACGGCGCCTCCACCCTCGGCGATGGACGTCAGCCAGGCGTCTTCCTCCGCCTTCTCAGGAGCACATTCTTCCAAGTACAGGTGATGCCATCGTGAGGAGGAGTGGGTGGGCGTTGGAAGAAACAGCGGGAGATTCTTGCGTCTATGTTGATTTGAAATTAATTAAATTTGTATCCTCTTCATCCTCCGTTGGCAGGCCCTGCAGGCTCCCTCCGGAGCTGCTTCTCTTGGAACACATGAGCCCCGTTCAGTTTTAGGATTCGTTGTCACTGTAAAAAACAGAACAAGAGTGTATTTCCAAGAAGCCACTGAGAGCTGGTCACTCCACTAGAGAGGCGAATCAAGAGAACACAAACAGTCAGGAAGCCAACAGCGTCCAGTTGACAACTTCCAAAGCAAAGGCCTGTCTGGATTTTACATTTGACCCCTGAGAAGAAAATCCATGAAGGCCAAGAAATAATCCCTGACTGTTGCCCTAATACCCTCCCCTAGCGCCGACATGGAGCAAACCAGATGGAGTCAGGGATCCCCCCTTTAATTAAATCTAATCCCATTCACTATGAATAAATGCCAAACTGTCCTTTTCCCCCTTTCTAAAAAATTTCCATGTGCTGTTTTCCCTGAAGAGTGTGTGATCTTGGCGTGTTTTCAAAAGCCCATTTTGTTCATATCCACAGGATCTGGAGATGCCTTCTCCACGTCATTTAGAATCTAGTCATCAGGCACCCCGGGGTGTGCATAGACATAAATTATGGACGTGGTGTTTGGACACGACCATGCTGGCTGGCTAACGTGTGCTTTTGTTTCTAACTTGGCTAGCTCTGCCACAGTCTGGCTCTGCAGCTTTTTCCCAGCTGGACTGTGCCACCACCCACGTCTCCTGGAAGGCAGGCCACTCTACCTCTTCTCGGCATCTCTTTTTAGTTTGTGCGCCTTCACTCAACTCCCAGGACACCTCTGCTGGAGGGACCTCTGTTTCCAAGGCAGAGCCTGAATGATAATGATCAACACCACCTGGTCTCTCCTTAGCTCATAAACACGTCTAGTCCGCCACGGACTCTGCTCTTCTCACTCCTGCGTCAGAGCTCTCCTGCCCAGTGCAACAGCACGTGTTTCCAGAGAGGACTCTGAGCAGCCGGGTCCGGAAAAAGGGAGGGGAGCAGTGTGTGCATGTGTGGGTGTCTGTGTTTGTGTTATGGCGATGAGGAAGAAGCTGTGATAAGGAGGGGCAAACAATGGGAAAGGGAAGGCCGACATTGTCAAAAGGACGACTTCTGTGGCAAACCTTATTTAAAATGGAAACTGAATTGAAAACTAGGACACGTTTTTTTTAATCTGTAGAGTAGATGTAACAATTCACTTAAGTCACTCCGGGCAACTCTTAACCTGGGCGAGGAGGTATCGTTTCTTGGAAATTGGGTGGTAGCAAGATAATATTTCTAAGGTCCAGAGTTCATCTCCACAGAGCACAAGGCTCTGAGTTGCATGTTTTACTTTTGTGGTTTTACCTTGAAGTTTCTGCCCCTCTGAGCAGGGCATATTACAGAGCCACGTGGGAACGGGCTCAGTGTTTCCTTCGTCCGCTGCACTGACCTGTGCCCAGCAGTCACAATAGAAGTAACTTTTAAAATTAATTAAATAATAACACCAATCCATATTCATTGTTGAAAAACAGAAAATACAAATAAACGAAACAAGAATACTAACAATCTTGCCCTGGCTGGTGTGGCTCAGTGGGTTGAGCACGCCTGCAAACCACAAGGCTGTAGGTTTGATTCCTGGTTGGGGCACATGCCTGTGTTTGGGCCAGATCCCCAGGTGGGGGCCTGGGAGAGGCAACCGACTGATGTTTCTCTCTCACATCCATGTTTCTCTCCCTCTCTTTCTCCCTGACTTCCCCTCTCTCTAAAAAATAAATCTTTTAAAAAATCACTTCAAAAAGAATACCAAGAATCCCACTACAGTTAACATTTTGCTATATACTCTTCCAAACTTCTTTTCTGTGATAATGACGTATTCTTTTTGTACAAAATGGGACCATATTATGCACATTATGCGATACTCTGTTACTCACTTTGATTCACATGTAGGCATCTTTCCTGTTAGTAAATATAAAATATCTTTTTAGTGGCTACAGAGAATTTCATTGTCTCATGAGACGAAAGAATCTTTTTAAACCCATAGCTTTACTGTTAAATGTGTAGGCTGTTTGCAATTTTTCGTTTTTATTTATTATAAAATTGCTGCACACTTCCAATGACTAACCTTTGCATAAGTATCTAGGAGAGGAATTGCTGAGTTGACATGTACAAAATGTTGCAACCTGACCAGCCTGCTGTCGCATTACCCCCTTCTCTAGAAACTCGGTTCAGTCTACCTCCCCCCGGCACTTCACTGCAGGGAAATGCCCATTTCCGCTCGGCCTCTCCAGCACTGGGTATTATCGTTTTCACTTTTTGGTAAATCTAATAGGTGAAACTATTATAGTATTTACCTTTACTTTTTTATTATTGTTTATTACTCAGAAGAATAAACATTTTTTCAAAGCTCTATCAGTAATTTTAGTTTCTTCATTTTCTGGATTGCTTATCGATATTGTTTGCTGATATTTAAAATGAGACAATTATTTGTATTAGTTTGGGTATTAATAATAATATTTTTGTTCATCATATGGATTTCTCAAGTTTGTCATCTTCCTCCTACTTTTGTGTATGGTGGTGTCTGAAGTGCAGAAAATTTGAGTTTTTACTGCAGTTCATCATTTTCTGATGTGGATTCTGACCACACGTGTCAGGCTTTCACACCAGTCCCCACCTTAAAGTTATAATATTTACCTACATTTTTCCTGAAGTTTTCTTTATTTTTAATGCTAAAATTTATCTGGGGTCTATTTAATCTAAGTATGAGGTAGAGTTCTAAATATCCCCCTCAAATATCAGTTGTCCTGAGACTATTTATTGAATAATCACTGCCTATGAAAGGCTACATTTATACTATATTAAAGGTTTGGATACACCGGAGGCTTTTTTTTATTATCCAATTCTATTCCATTAATGATTCTTATTTGGTTCTGGGAGTACATCGCGTCAGCTAGAGGTGCACGCTCCCTGCGACTCCGGCCCCCGCCCTGACTCACAGCTGTTCTCCTTCCTTCTCTGAGAATCGCCCGGGCCGCTTATGCACAGTGGTTCTTCCAGACGAACTGTCCCTTGGGATAGTTAAGAGACAGGTTGAACCGAAAATGATCATTTTTATACGGTTGAATCTTTCATCCAGGAACACAGTATGCCTCTCTCCACTTGTTTAACTCTTTTACATCCCTCGATTAAGATGTGAACAATTCCTGTTCACATTCCCCATGCATTTTTTGGTTACGTTTACACCTGGCTGTTTCACATCTTGTGTCGCTTTTATGGCATCACTAACGCTAGTCTTTGCTGACAGCTGGTCTGTCAGCCTGGTAGACAGGACATAGGGTCAGGTGTCTCTTAACCTCAGTTTTCTGTTCTCATCATATCTGCAAAACATGCATAACAATACCACGTACTTCGCAGGGCTGTTGTAAAGAATAAACGAGAAAATGGAGGTAAAGCACTGTGCCCCAGGCTTGATGTACAGACACAATCTTATTTGGAAGATTCTATACCAGCAAATACTTGTCTATTAAACAGGGGCTCCAATATTGCTTCAAATATCCAAAGGCTTTTTAAAAACCATCCTCCAAAACAAACTTTCCATTTCTGAGCACAGTGCACTTAAACGCGGTCTGTTTAAAATGCTCTACAAGCAGTTCGAAGGCTTAGCGAGTGGCACTGTCCACCCACCAACCAGAGCACAGTTACTTTAAGCACCAAAGAGCAAAGGAGCTCACACCTACCTAGCGCTTCCTGCTGCATAGATCTGTGGACCCTGAGCACATGACAGACTGTGCCGCCCAGGGGGCAGTCCCAATGTGGGTACAAGCATCGTGTGATTTCTAGTGTTGCGACTCACATGCAAACTTTCGCTGGTGGCACGATGGCCTGATGCTGGGAAGTCAGCAGCCCGAGGTCCGGCCTGCTCTCTGAGCCCGCAGGCCTTTTCTCTCTCCCCTGCTCACTCCTGTACACAGTGAGTCCTGTTTCCTGCTGTCCCTGTGGCTATTTACCTTCTCTGTGAAAGAATCAAATAAGCCCAGACGTTTTCAACTCTGGCAAATTCTAGAGTTCCCTGTTAAAATATCTTGGCAAACCGTCACAGTGTTGCAACAAATAAAATAAGTGATCTTGCTTCAAACCTCTATTGCTTGCCTTGATGTTAATTTGTAAGGTCTTAGTTAACTTACTTATGAGAGTGGCATTAGTGAGTAATTTTTCTTGGAGTGTTATATTTTAAGAATATGGGACAGCTTTCCCAACAGCCTGCGTAGTGACAAGCCTACAAACAGGAAAAATGAATTGATTAAAAAGCACCACCTGATTATTTTTAAGAAAGCACTTCACTGGAATGCCACCAGTTAAAGGAGGACGGATGCAACTCTGACACCTTGTTTCATGACGGCCCCTCGGTTTCAGTGAGGGTCAGATAAGCCATCCCTGTTCTCCCAACCAGTGTGTCTTGTAACAATCCTTCCTTATGCCCACAGTTAACGTGTCCTTTCTCCGAAGACGGCCATGAACCTATGGGAAACCTTTCTTGAGATAGGGTGCTCCCTAACTGGGTGTTTGGAGAGTGCGTTTTTTCGGTTTAGCACAAAGTCACATAACGATTTGATCACGCTCCCTTTCTCTGCATCAGTGTAACACCCCTTCTCCTTCCAGAAAGAGGCCTGGCCCAGGTGAAGTTACAGAGGTCACACATCTGTGCAACATCAGCGTCAGGCCTAGAATTAGTCCAAGACACATAGATCATTCCCTTAGTGTAGACATAATCTGGGCCACTATTCAAGCAATGCTGCAGTTTATTAAATTTAGTACATCTTCCCTCCCCCGCTCCCCCACACACCTGCATTTTAACAATGTTACTTGAGGTTATCATCTTGTAGCATTATAAACTGTTACTTTGTATCCCTCACAATACTTAGCTTCGATTTGAGGGAAGCCAGTTGACGCTTAATACACTTAACATTCAATACTTCTCGATTTATCAATGAGTTTTGAGGAACTAGAGAAGAAGAAAGAAACTCACAAAGAGAATAATTGGAAGTGGCCACAGAGATTTAGCTGAGTGGAGAGGCAGTTCATACAAAACAGTTAATACAAATCAACTGTTTTCTTGCAATTAATGGTTC